ATGATGTGTTTTCGTGTATTGTCATTGGGTTTTTGGCAAATTTTATATTATAAAAGTGTCTTGCATGTTGGGTGCTATATTATTATTCTGGTTGCGCATAGTTTTGGCAATGCTATTTGGTTGTTGGACAGAATGTCGTACAGTGCGCATATGTAGGTGTAAATATTATATGCTGTTTTTTAATGCGATAAAAAGCCGGTTGCATAATAATGTATTGGTGTTGCGTAACGTTATTTTATTTTTATTATTTCTTTATGCCCAAATATGGTCATGTTTCAGTCCCGTACTGTTAATTGCTGATTGTGGAGATGTTAAATGATGATGCAATCTTTAAGGAATGTATAATAGTTACCTAATATTATTTGATATTGCATAATATATTTTAATTGCGTTAGAGTTTTAACACCCAAGTATGATCGTTTTGATATATTCATTCTATAAGTTTATTTAAGTATATAATAGAATATTATTTATATATTACAATAGTGTATGGGTAATTCTTTGACAGAATCAAAATATTTGTATATATTTGTGTGACATATTATGGTGGTTACGCTATTATAATTATTTTTTATGTTAAATGTGATAAATGTCATTGTGTTATTTATAGTGTTATTTCTATTGTACGTTGGCTGATTTATTTTCGTATTATAGGATATAAATTATTTTCGCATTACTTGGCAAGTTACATATTAAGAGTTTTTGGGGAGTTATTTTTTGTATTGAGCTAGGTATGTTTAAAAATACCGGCATAAAGTCTGCTCACGACTATGATAGTTGGTACATTTAAGGGGCAACGAAGTGCACGGGTTCAGCTTGTTTTCCCATATATTTCTTTAAATAATAATTCCTATTGAATTATTTTAGCAGTAAAACCTTTATTATTATAATATTAATTTAAAAAAAGGTGGGCAAGTGGGTGTCGCTCTGCTGTACAGTAGGTTACAAGTTGGTTACTGTAGTGGGTGTTGTTAAATTTGAATTCAATGTTATAATATTATTGTATAAGAAAAATGGTTCTGAGCGAAGACGGTTGTATGATATTACTAAGTATATTTGATGATATTATTGTGAACAAAGTAATGTACGTGGAACCTTGTTTTAAATTTTCAATCCTTAGCTATAAAAGTTGAACATTTTATACATATTTGACTACAAAATAATAATAACATTTTAAATTTGATACATTTTGTCAAAATTCAAACTTTAAATGCTTATAAAAAAAATTGTGCCTATATATTTTTAGTATTTTTCAACTATTATTGTAACAATATATCAATAGCCTTGTATTAAATTTTCACGTTTTTTAACAAAACAACTTAAGTTTTATTGATATTTATAGGAAAAAATTAAAACAATTAAAAACTGACAATGTCCTTAAACAACTCAAAAAGAGTCAAAACTTTATGTTGTATAATATAAAATAAAAATATAAACATTCAGTGTAATTTTCATGTATCTACATTAGTTATTCGTTTTTGAATAACAACAAAATAACAAAATCGCTACATAAGAAATATAGTGAATATCCAATCTCGTGAAAATATGAACTTCAAAAGTTCATAAATATTTAATTTGATTTGCTTGTGGAATTTTTTTTTTTTTTGATAAAGGTAGAAAAACTTACCCATTCATAATCTTGTATTACATAACAATTTTTATGGTTTCTCAACTCAAAATAATTTGCTAATTTTCTTGATTTTCAGTATTTTGTTAAGATATGAACTTTCAATGCTTATAAAAGTAAACTGTGACTAAGAATTTTTAATATTTTTCAAACGTCATTGTAACAATATAGTAGGAGCGTTGTATTAAATGTTCAAGCTTTTTTACCCAACAATAATAAAATTCCATTGACAAAAAAAGAATAAAAAAATTGGAAAATGAAAATGTTCTTCAACAGTTCAAAACAAATCAAAATATTTTGAAAATTTTGTCGTGTATAGAAAATGCGAATATTAATAAATATAAATAAAAAACAACCTATGAAAATTGCATGTATATACGTTCATTTTTTTTTAGAGTTACTCCAAAAACCAAAATCGATATGGTCAAAAACCGATTTTGGGTAAAAATTTCCATCTTTATGTTGTTTTTCACTGCACTTTTGAAAACTATTGAGAGTTTTAAAATTTGATTCAATACGACGTCTTGCTATTTGACTTTTGAGAATCGAATGAACATTGGTCCATTGATGATACGCTATTTTGGGGGTACAATTTTGATAACAACATAATTTTACCATAGAATAACGTCATATTTTATGATACTGCCATAATAAAATACAGAATTCTGTGGTTAGTGGTTACCATAGATAATAATCTAACAATCTATGGTTTTTGTACGATATTTTAGAATATACCTAGATAGGGTAATAATTTAAATGATAAGGTCTAATACATACACGAATATTACTATTTTGTACCTGTTAATATATTATATATTTCAATGATATTCTGGTGGTGCAAAAACATACCTTAGATATATCTACATTTAATCTACATCTAAAATGTGGTGGTGCAATTGCTGCATTTGCACCACCCAGTTTATGCCACTGGTTGGGGAAAGAGAGTTATTATATACAGGGAGTAACAGAAAGATATGACATATACATATACCGGAAATGTTCCTAAACAGTTCAAAACAAATCAAAATGTTTTGAAAATTTTATCGTGTATAGAAAATGCAAATATAAACTACCAGTGAAAATGTCATGTATAACAAAAATAACCAAAAACAAAAATAGATTTTGTCATATCTTTCTGTTACACCCTGTATATGATTCAATTATTATAATTATAAAATTTAAAAGACACAGAGTATAGGTTCTAAGTACATATAAAGTTAAATAAACAAATATACTTTAGAAATATTATTAAGAAATTGTACATGATAAAGAAAGGAAATATAAAATAAACATATTAGTCTAAAATACACGAATAAAACCTCATAGATTAATATTTACAAAGCTTAGAATATAAAATAAAATTACAGCAACTCATTATTTAACTACAGAAATAAATATTTATATACCAATCCTTTAATATTAATCCTTTCATCCCCAAGTATTTTTTTTTTTAATTCAAAAGGCATAGAATTATTTATTTATTGTTCAAAATTACTATTTAAAATTTCTCATTTTATAGGTATATCAAACTGGTGATAAACTAGTCAATTGCCCATAAAACTTGAAAACCTTAAAGTGAGTTTTGCGTGCATACAATAATGTTTTCCACAAAAAGAGAAATTAATCCACAGACAATAAAAACTTATCACAAAAAAAATATATATCAAATTAAGGTTGTGGACGATTGAGTGATGTAATAAAATTAAATAAATTGAGTACCAGGTAATTGGTTTTTGCTTCTTCTTTTATATTATTTGTAATAAATTCTTTAATTTTTACTTTAGCAATATCTGGTGAGCGTGAGTAATGAACAGATTCTTTTAAAATATCAACTAAAATTAAATTTAAAAATAAAAAAGAGCTAATTTAGTTAAGTTGTATTAATTTCTATAAAGTTGTATATTATGTTAGGACATTACAAAATTAAAAAAAATTAAAATGCCATAAAACGTAAGGCGCTACTAACAGACGATTTTTGCTTTCGTTTTTTTTTAAAATTATTTATCAATTTAATCGTATTGTTAATCGGATTTATTCCATACAACTTAATATAACATAATAATTTAAGGGAAGGATTTATATGCAAATGCATATTCTTCTACTGGAATAATTTTTATTATAAATGTCAACGTTTTGTAATGTGTAGATTCTATGGTAAATTATACAACTAAATCCAAGCCTTAACAATTAATAATAATTATTACCTATTTCTTGGTGGTTTGAGTGATTGTATAGCATAAATTACATTATTTTATATGTTTTGTACTCAGAACAACGCCAAATGAATTTGTTCACACCTTCTTTAGAGAACGTATGAAGGTATCCATTATGCAATAATAACTTGTTGACTTTTTGACTTACAAAAAATTGTAGAGGCATTTTTAAATCTAAATCCGTTGTATTTTAGTGAAACTGGAACTAAGTTAATCGATACCAGCTTGGTGTCTATATACGGATACAATGTCGTATCGATACAGTCGTTACGTCGATAAAATCGTTTATCGTGGTTTGTTATCGCACTCGTAATCGTGAAAAATATATCAGATAATACAAATTGGACAGTGTGATAGTGTTATTATATTGTGATTAGTAGTTATTTTTGACTTTCGGATTATTTTCTAAACATTATTACTAGAAAATGTACTTACTTCGGTAATCACTTTAGACATCAGATTTTTATCTACTTTTAATAATTGTTGTTATAAAAAAATTAATATTAATATTAAATATTATAAATATTAAAGTATTTTCATGGGAGATATTTCCCTTAAAGGTATTTTCAACAGGAGATATTTTGTACTGGAGATATTTTGTATCGGAGATATTTTGTTGGAGATATTTTTGCGGAGATATTTTTACAGGTCACCGATTTTTCAATGTTTTGTTTCAACTTCCTGAAAACTAGTCGTTTTTTACTTAAGACATTTATACTCTACTCCAAAGAATAAACATATTTATAATATTAGGCAATTACTTACTAAAATTTTTTTTTAGTCTACTGCTTTTATTTTATTTTCTCATAAATTAAGAATACTTAGTGGTTATTAATGTTTGGTCATATGTAGAAGGTGTTATTTTTTTGTAATACTTAAGTGTATTTTTATCCATTATCAAAATATGGATTAATTGACATACTTAATCAAGAACTACCATACCGCAGAGTGGTTGGTACCCACTTGTCCATATTTTTTCGTTCATAACGTCATAATGTTTATGATAAAATAAATCTTTAATAGATATAATATATAAGAAAACGTTATTCCATGATCATGCGTTATTAAACACATAATATGTTATAAAAAAAGTAATAATCATAATAATTATAATAAAAGTAATAGTAATAATAATATATGCATGGTCAGAGAGTGTGGTCTCACCACAGCTGGCACTTCTCGGCCGGGTTCATATTGGAGCCCAACGGACACCGGAATTCGTCGCTGAAGAATTTCATGTTGGAAAACGAGCCGATGATCCGGAAACGGTAAGGCGAATGGACGTCTGTCATTCTATCCTTCTGAGTTTTAAGAGTATCCTTGGAGCACAAAATATTGGCGTAACTCAACCAGAACATCTGCTGTGGTGTGTACTCCTGGAGCCCGGGCAGCCGTGGTTCTACGCCATGTCGTTCAGCCCACACTCTGTACGCGTTGTACGCCAGACTCACGCCATTGTCCGCTATATTATCGCCCAGCGTTAGTTTGCCGTCCACCTGCATAACATTAATATTAATAGTTAGGTTAGGTCATATAGTCCTTAAGTGGAAAGGTATCAATAAAAAAATTGTGGGCAAGTGGGTGTCGCTCTGCTGTACAGTAGGTTAAAAGTGGGTCACTGTAACGGATGTTGTTAAATTTGAGTTCAATATGATACAATCGCATTGTATAAGAAAAAACGATTATGAACGAAGACGGGGTCAGTCAGTCTATGATATTACTTATATCTATATTATTATATTTGATGATATTATTGTGAATAAAGTAATTTATATATAACCTATTTATTTGGAACCTTGTTATACATTTTAAATCCTTAACTAAAAAAGTTGAACAATATATACATTTTTAACTACATAAATTTTAAATTTTATACATTTTGTCAAAATTCGAACTTTAAATTCTTAAAAAAAAAATTGTGCTTTGGATTTTGAATATTTGTAACTGCTATTGTAACAATATATCAGGAGCCTTGTATTAAATTTGCACGCTTTTTTACCCAACAAATATTTTTATTAATATTTATAGAAACAAAAACCTAAAAAATTGAAAACTAACAATGTCAGTAAACAGCTCTAAAAGACTCAAAATATTTTCAAAATTGTATTGTGTATAGAAACGGAAAACATTCAGTAAAATTTTCATGTATTTACAGTTATTCGTTTTTGAATTACAACAAAGTAAGAAAATCGAACATGAAAAATAGAGTGAATATTCAATAATGTACAAAATTGAATTTCAGAGGCTCATAATAATTTAATTTGAATTTTTTATGGACATTTTTTTTTGATAATGGTTGATAAACTTATAAGGAATCTTGTATTACATTTTAAAATCTTAGATTCAAAAAGAAAATTTCTAGGAATTTCTAACTCAAAATAATATACACATTTTTATGATTTTCCGTATTTTGTCAAGATTTGAACTTTAAATTCTTAGGTAAAAAAACAACTGTGACTAAGGCTGTTAAATATTTTTCAATTGTCATTGTAACAATATTATAGTAGAATCGATTTTTAAATTTCGAGCTCCCGAATGCAACAGCTAGATTCACTTTTCCATCAAAAAAGATACTGTTGAAGAAAATCGATGCAGTTTTACTGTCCCAAACCTTGATGACGGACACAAAAATTTAAAAAAAAAATTTAAAATTAAAAAACGCACATTGTTGTAAAGCCAATACATTCATTATTTCATTTCAGAATCTAAAATATCGGGTTGGTGAGTTGCGGGGTAGGTATAAGTATTTTTCGAAAAATGTAGATAAGTGAAATAATTTAATACATTTTTTTAATCATTATAATCGGGAATTATTAAATTTTCAACAAATAATAAGTCAACTTCAAAATTAAACCACACAAAAACGTAGTCTTATGAAATTTATTTTATCACACACACCTTGAGACCGATTTCATGAACAGTGTAATTTCCATATTGATTGATGAAACATTTTTCCTTTTCCAAAAAGCGTTTATTCGTCTCCTCCGTCCACCATTTCCCAAAGTTGCCATGCATATCATATAGTTTACCAATGTTATCAAAACCATGAGTTATCTCGTGACTAATAAAAGATCCAATTCCACTGTAAATCATGTATTTAGGACGATCGTTAGAGAAGAACGCACCTTTCAAGATACCAGCGGGAAGTACTGGAAAATTAAAACAATTTATAGTACAATAAATATGGTTGTAATAATGTCTAACTTTAAGTACTTATATTATATAGGTAGGTAAAGTGTTCTAATTTATAAATTATGACTGCAAAAAACCGGTTTTAAATGTTTTCCGTAAAGTTTCTAGGACTCAACATGTTTGTAAAAAAATGATCAATTAATAATAATAAAAATTTATTTTAATTTCGAATACAGTATGTATTGAGTTTAAAGGGAGAAATTCTCAGCATTCTTATTTAAATTTTTTATTTAATTTGTTCTCAATACTTCATCCAAAATTTTGTGGAAGGGTCAGGAAAATAACAGTTCGATAACTTGTAAACTTTGTTGACTTCTATTTAAAAGATTAATTTTCATTTTAACCAATTACTCAACACGATTGGCCACTCTATAATTAACGACAAGGTTTAAGTATAGTATAAAATACCAAGGCTGGACAAGTTAACTATTTTTTTTAACTCGTTAAGTTAAGTTTAAAGTTAAAAGTTAACTTCATTTTTTTTAACTTGTAAAAGTTACAAGTTAATTAGAAAATAAAAGTAACTTAACTTAGTTAAAAATAAGTTGCTTTTTTTTTAAATAAAATTAACAATTATACCTACCTACCTTTTTTAAAGCTAACAAATAACATAATAATTCAATAAATCAAAAAATGTCTTACAATATTTGAATAAATGTTTGTAATAAAATTAGTTACTGTAAGTACTTATATTAATTTTGGGTATTATACTTTAATTAGGTAAATAGTAAATACCACGCTACTACGGGTATTATTTACATCGACGGGCCAAGTTATCACCGTAATTCTATGAATGAATAAAAATATAATTAAGTAATGATATTAATAATGATTAGGTATAGGTTAGGTGATATGCCGTGTATGGGATAGGTGCTGAGTAAATTGTTATATTTTTCTTTGACGTGGTTAGAGTCATCTCTATGATATTTCCCTCTAAAAATATAGTTATAAAATATTTTCTGTGAATATGCAATATAAAAACTTACTATTATTATTATAAATTATTATTTAATAAAATATATTTAATATTTCGGGTTTTTTTTTATGTAATTAATTTTACAAAATTGAATTAATTTTAAATAATATGTGGTTTGGGAAAAAATTAACTTAACGTGCCAATAAAATTAATTAACTCGTTAAGTTACTGAATAACATGGGGAAAAATGTAAATTGTTAAGTTAGAAGTTACTTCTAAAAAAAAAAGTAACTCGTTAATTAACTTAGTTAAAAGTAACTTAACTTTTTAACTTAACTTTAACTTATTAACTCGTTAATGCCCAGGCTTGTAAAATACTATATTATATTATTCCAATATTACTCACTCATATTGTTTTTATTATATTGATATAACGCATTTACATCTGTTACGAAACCACCGGCAATAACCCAATCCGATCTATTAAAATATTTCGATTTCGAAAACTCATAGTCAGTGCCAAGTTTAGTGCAATTCAATGCTGATGTATAAAAGTCTTGGTCGTTGACTTCCAACTAAGAAAAAAACTCAGTTAGTAAGTAATAACTAAATACTCATTATTTATAAAAAAAAAAAAATTTAAATGTTTTTATTATGTATTGTATTCTAATCTCCAATGCGCTTTAGTCTGGACTTAAGGAATTAGTTACATTTTCATAATACGCATTCAACTTGTTATCATCCAATAGCTCATCAGGATATGCAATGTTATGTGTCATTGCCTTTGCTTTGTTCATCGCTTTTTCCCTAAACGAAATAACAAAAATTAGTTTGTGCTGTATCAACCAAAAGTCAATATTTACCTTGTTCTATCGTCCATCCACTCATTTGACGATAATGTTTTATATAGTTCCTCCTTGATACCATTCAACATTTCTAAAGCATTCTGTTTAGCGTTTTCATTGAAAAACCGTCTAACGTATAACGACCCAATGGCTAAATTAAACAATTTAGTACTGATATCCGTGCAATACTTCCATTGGGGATATTCTATAAAATCGGGGTCTATCTCTTTCTTGTACTTCAACTTTCTTTTTCTCAGATCTTCAGTCAGAAAATCTAAAGAGTCAATAACAGATCTCTGAATCAAGTAATTCGCTTGAACCCTGATAGAAGAATCAAATTAAGTCAGTACACCTGTGTTTTTAAAGTTATATTATAATTTCTATTTCGTATACATCTTGGACGAATTGTATCAAATTATTCAATAATTATGAAAATTATATATTGTAAAATCATATTGACGTAGATCATCAGCTATTCCTGTTTTTATTATAAAACCACATTATGTCAATATTTCGGAGAAAACCAGACGGATTCGTTTTCGAATTTAATATTAGTTTGTATTTATTTGCCATTATGCCATGTATCTATATAATATTTACCTTTTGGGCGTTTTGTCGAGAAGGGTGTTCAATTTATCCAATTTTTTTTGCGAATACGCAACTGCGGTGTCGTTCTCTTTCCATGGTATATTCGGAAAAGCATCATATAGTTTTTTTAGGACCTTTACGTAATTCATCTCTAAGGGGTATTCCTCTTCTATCTTAGCCAATTCTATCTCAAAGTCTAACGACTCGCTCAACTCCTTGGTGGCCCTCTGCGAGTCAGCGCCGAAAAGCACCGCAATGTCCACTATGTACCTGTAGTATTTGTCCACGACTTCGTGATCTTTGCCCTTGACCAGGTACTCCGATTTCAGTCCCAAGGACGCTTTTCCCAGCTGAAATATCGACCGGACACATCAACACCCGTCAAACTCATTATTGATATGGGCAATAGTAAACTCTCCTGATTATATGGTAGCCAATAAGGATAGTAAAATTATGGGAAACTCTACTTCGTAAACGTTTATGCTTAACTATAGGAAAATAATATATGGACTCACTACAGAGTTGTTTCAAATTGTATTTCTATTTGCTACATTGTAAATTGTCCGTACTGTTACTGCATTTTTTATGCATAAAGTTATTGTTTAAAAATAGATGTACAGTATTATATTATAGCTATCAGTTGAATGCATAGGTACTATTGTAGTTTTTAGCTTGAAGGGGCTTTACGTACCTATTTGCGTACCTATTGCTTAGATGCTAAAATTAGGACTATTAGGAGTATGATTTTTTTATGGACATTTAAATTTCAAATTAGGACGAAATTTAGGTAGATACCTATTCAAATGAAGAATAATGTTTTAAATTAATTTGTTGTAATTGAAAATTATTATTAACGGATACATGAAACTTTTCATACCTATATTATTATTTATTATATTTTAAACTTTTATCTATAATGTCTAAACATATAGGAATATAATATATTAATACAATATTTTTGGAAAAAATTAGATCAACCTACGGTAATATAGTACTATAGTACTATTACTCCTAGCAAGGGCGTCCTCAGGAATTCGTCAAGGGACTGTAAAATATTTTCCTTTTTACATTTTATGTCTCACTATCCTATTAGTTATAAAGTATTTTTTAGACGTGTTATCTTTCATACAGACAAAGAATGTTAAAATATTTATGAATTATACGTAAATAGTAAGTTAAAACTTAATCTTACAGCTTTAATTTTAAATTATCAAACACATTTGTTTTTAATAAATAAAATGTTACCTTTGATTTTATAATTATAGGTAAATTATAAAATTAAATATTCCTTGCTTATTCCATTGATACCTCAAACTTGAAAGGTTGAAACTATTATAGATATGACATCTATAAGCATTTAATTTTTTTATCAAAAAAATGTGCAGCATTGAACTTGGTCCAACCACTACATCTTATAATCTATAAAAGCAACGTTATTAGTTCCGACGTTAATAATCGAGTGTAATAAAAATCACTCTGGAATTTAAAAAAAAATGTATTTTGCTATACTTTATATTACAACAGTAATAATTGAGGTTGCGATTACGATGCACTTTGCATTGTTTTCCAAATCTAGCTACTCTGTACTCATTTTATAACATATACCTACATTGAATTTTTTGACGATTTTGAATTTTAAGGTCATTTTCGCATTTAAAGATTTTTGGAGTATTTTGAAGTTCTTTCTAAATTTAAACTTTAAATTTTATTTTAAAATGTGCACATGTTTGTACATAATTTTTATAATAAATTTATGATCTATAAAGTCTAAATCTAAAGGTATAGAACAAAAAAATTAGTTCATTTTCAGATTAAATAAGTAGTCCAAATGATAAGTTCTGTCTATTAAACATTTATAAAATCATTTAAAAATTTAAAATGTATAATGTATATTATAATTTATTTTAGTATTTATATAAAATAAAAATAATTGTGTGCACTGTATAAAAATGTTAGGGCATTATTAAGTTAGGTTAGAACATTAATGTCATCAATAATAATTATGATAGTCAACCCAGAAAAAGCCATTTTGGAAGGGGGGACTGCCCCTACTTATCACCCCCCCCCAAGCGGACGCCATTGACTCCTAGTGAAATAAATTACTATTTTTGGAGTTCAAATATTTTATAAATTATTTTAATAATATAAGATAATTATAGACGGTCTTGCCAAGAATCTTTTTTGATAATATGAAATGATTTATCATTGAATTCAAATTCTATGTGTCTTACTTAATGACAGGATATACTCGAATTACTTTACTTCAGAGTGGGTGCCTAAGTTCCCCCTGTATTTAATATTATTTGTCATTACTCATCACTTAATATAGTTTTAACTTTTATGTAAGCATAAATATTTATAAATACATATATTATTAGATTTTAAATAATGTTTAAATATCATAAAAATTTACATTTTTAATATCATTTGTTATAATTTTAAAATGATTTATATTTCAATTCATTATTTGATATTCAGAGTGATGGTGTTCAAAACTTAAAGGAGCACACAATACAAAAAACATGTTTCATTAAATTTTTTTTAATGTTATATTATTGTAGCTATGGGTATACAGGGTGTAACAGAAAGATATGACATATACATATACTGGAAATGTTATTAAACAGTTCAAAACAAAGCAAAATGTTTTGAAAATTTTATCGTGTATAGAAAATGCAAATATAAACTACCAGTGAAAATGTCATGTATATACGTTCATTTGTTTTAGAGTTTAACCAAAAACAAAAATCGATTTTGTCATATCTTTCTGTTACACTCTGTATATGATTTGGTAAAAATCCAGTGTAAAAAAAAATGATTACTTTAAGAGGTATTAAGAAAATGTAGAATAGCCGCGTGAAGTCATTTTTCCCGGATAATCGTAATAATTGCCTATCTTATACCCGTAAAATTTCCTCCCTTAACGTGATGATTTACTAATCAAAACATTTTATTTTTGAAACTTAGTTTTCGTAGAAATGTGTGATTTTATGCGTTAAAACAATATAAGTATCAGAAATTCAATAGAACGTTTAGTTTCTTTTATATTAATAAATCTTTAAAGTGATATTTTCGTTAAATGACGCGTCATAGCCATTTAAGAATAAAATAAAAATTCAAATATATCTAATAATCTAATATATGATCTAAGATTTTTTATATTTATAAATCTAAACGTTGTATTGAAATTCGGATACTTTTATCGTCATAAACACAAAAATCACATCTTTAAACGTAAACTAAATATTTTAAAAAATAAAATGTTTTGATTGGGAAATCATCGTGTTTAGCAAGGAACACGTAAAAAATATACAATTACGATTAGCTGGGCCCAATGATGTCACGCTTCTTTTTTAATTGCTCATAGCTTATTGAATAATGCGAGTAGAAATGTAAAACCAGTTCCATTGTTCTTAGAAATAAACATTCTTTCAAATTAAAAAAAAAGGTGGGCAAGTGGTTGTCGCTCTGCTGTACAGTAGGTTACAAGTGGGTCACTGTATAATGGATGATATTAAATTTGAATTCAACGATATAATATCATTGTATAAAAAAAACGATTCTGAGCGGAGACAGTATGTCAGTCTAGGTATAAGACATATTATATACATTATACATATCTATGGTACTAAACCAAAATTTGACCTATAATAGGTAGGTACCTATAATAAATTCCAAAATTAATCATATCAAAATATCCATTAGGTACTTATAACGCGTTATACATCAACAAAAACCGTGATACTATCATAGATATATAATAGTACACTTTAGAAGTTTCAAGTATCCACGAATAATATTATTCAATCACAACAAAAAAACTAAAATAGTTATTCTAGGTTTTTTAATATGTAATTTCGTCCAAATTTGAATTTAAAATGTCTGTAAAAAATAACTGTGTTCATATATTTTTTAGATTTTTTGGTTACAGTATGAATTATTTACGAGAACCTTTGTGTTGAATTTGCAATCCTTAGCTATAAAAACTGAACATTTTATAATTTATTAATTACAATGATTGATAATTTTGGAGATTTTGATGAATTTTGTCAAAATTTGATCTTTAAATGCTTATAAAAAAAACTGTGCCTATGTATTTTTAATATTTTCCAACTGATATTGTAACAATATATCAGGAGCCTTATATTAAATTTTTACACTTTTTGGCCCAACAGATAAAACTTTATTGATATTTATAGAAAAAAAAACTAAAAAAAATTGAAAGCTGTAAATGTCCATAAACAGCTCAAAAAGAGTCAAAATATTTTCAAAATTGTATGGTGTATAGGAAATGCTAATATAAACATTCAGTGAAATTTTCATGTATCTACAGTTATTAGTTTTTGAATTACAACAAAATAAGGAAATCGCTACATGAGAAATCGAGTGAACATCCCATGTTGTAAAAATTTGAATTTCAAACGCTCATAAAAATTTAATTTGACATTCCGGTAGAGATTTTTTTATTGATAAAGGTAGACAAACTTATGAGTAATCTTGTATTACATTTTCAAATCTTAGATTTAAAAAGAAAAATTTTTACGACTTCTTAACTCAAAATAATTCGCTAATTTTCGTGATTTTTCCATATTTTTACAATTTTTGAACTTTAAATGCTTATAAAAAAAAATTGTGACTAAGGATTTTTAATATTTTTCATCTGCCTTTGAAACAATATATTAGGAGCCTTCTATTAAATTTTCAAGCTTTCGCAACCAACAAATAAAATTGTATTGATATTTTTAGAAAAAAAACTAAAAAAAAATGGAAAATGAAAATGTCCCTAAACATTTCAAAATAAATCAAAATATTTTGAAAATGTTATCGTGTATAGAAAATGCAAATATAAACAACCAGTGAAAATTCCATGTATATACGTTCATTTGTTTTAGAGTTACACCAAAAACCAAAATCGATTTTTTGGAAAACCAATTTTGCGTAAATATTCCCGTTTTTCCTTAATTTTTATGTTGTTTTTCCCGGCGTTTGTGAAAACTACTGGGAAATGTTTACTTTTGACCCCCCAAAGTACCAACTAGATTCACTTTCCTATCAGAAAAGGTACTATTGAAGAAAATCTAAGCACTTTTACTGTCCCAAAACGTGATGACAGACACAAAAAAAAATATAAAAATATAAAAATATAAAAATATAAAAATATAAAAATATAAAAATATAAAAATATAAAATCACACATCATTGTAAAACCAATACATTCATCGCTCCGCTCAGAATCTAAAAGTGAGTAACTAGATGACACTCTGATGTACAGTAGGTTTCAATTGGATCAAAGTATAATTTATTGTATTAAACTTGAATTCAATGATATAGTATTATTGTATAAGAAAAACGATTCTGAGCGGAGACAGTTTGTTAGTCTGGATATTGTATATTGTTGTTATTTATTATAGCATGTAAGTTGAATTGATATTATAATATTAAATTTTTACTCGTTTCTATGTTGACAAACCAAGAGTTAGAAATTAAAAACGTAAAATGGTAATTTGTCGGTGGTTTTTCCCGTGTTATTAAATAATTATCGAAAAAATTTAAACCCCCCCCCCCCCTCTAAAGTACCATCTTGATCCAATTTGCTAAAAGATATGATAATAAATGTTGAAATCAAAGCACTCCTTCTGGTAGAAATTTTGCCATAGGTAATTTGTTTTTTTTTTATGTTAAATAGAATGATATTTTATTAATGTAGGATAGCTCACATATATAAAAGGGTTCGTGCTATTATCCAGATGTGGTATAACACTAATCTTGATTAAGTAGTCCAAATAACCTATCTTATTCGGCACGATTAGTTTTTGCATAGTGTCCGTCCACGTGAACTTCGATTCGTTCCATTTCTCAGCTTCCAGCACTGGCCATCCACCAAGGCTTTTCAGCATTTCCTTGATCGGCTCCAAGCCTATCTTTTCGATGTGTTCTGTTAACATACAGTTTATGTCGATAATTTGATATTATCCAAATTACGTGCTGAAATCATGATCTAGGTTAAATTGCAAAAAGGATATATTATTTAATAAATATTGATACCTATTTAAGAAGCGGGGGTCGATAGGGTGTATTATATCGAAAAAATTTAATTGACGGGAATAATTCTCAGACCTCGTAAAATTATCGGATTTTGATAACTATTATTTTATCTGAAAGAATAATACTACCTACAGGCCTCATTGAACTCCGATTTTTATTTTATATCAAATAATGGTATATACACCATTATTTTATAGTAATATGTTTTATAAATAAACTGTAAATTGTATTATTTTTGAAGACATGTTATGAAGTTTGGGTTTAAAGATAGAAAAACGGTGTTCGACGCGGCCTGTAGATTATTAAATCTATTAGTGAAAAAAAATTATCAAATTTGGTTGATTCAACAGAACAGGATCGTTATTGCTGTAAGGCCTATTTTTGTGTTAAAAAATACATTGGCACCTTAAAAATAAATACATATTAATACCTACATATAATCATTCTGTGTATTAAATATAATCATAATATTATATACTTTACAATTTTCAAGTACCCACCAATAATATTTTTAAATTACAATTATAACAAAATAACTAAAATTCAATTCAATATCTAATTTCGTCAAAATGTTAACTTCAAACATCTACAAAGATACCAGTGTTAACATATTCATATATTTTTTAAGTAATTTGGTTATAGTATGAACTACTTGAGAAACCTCTTTTTTAAAATTTAATAAACTTTTAATTACATGATGATAAATTGAAAATTTTTTAAAGTTTTGTTGTTTTTTTTTCAAACCTTGTATTTAATTTTCAATATTTTTGAATCATCAAAAAAAAATTATTGATATTAAAAAAGCAAAAACATAAAGTTTAACATTTTTATAAATAGGTAGTTAAATCCAGTAAATATATTTCAATCATGTATATAATAATATGTTAAAATAAAAATGTAATGAAAATCTCAAGTGACTACGGTTATTTGTATTTTGAATTACAATTTACAACAAAATAAGACATTTGTTAGATGAGGAATTGGTTATTTATCCAATGTTGAAATAATTTGAAATTTAAAAGCTCATAAAAATATAATAAGACATTGCTGTAGACTTCCGTAAAAAGTTGTTGTGAATTTACTCACAACTTTTTATTTTTAATTACACCATTAACAACTTATGAGGAACATATTTTCAACATAAATGAGAAATTGTTATAGAAACATGTGGTGAGAATTTAAAGTATCTATAAATGGTTATCAGTTTTTGAGTTGAAGCAAAATTATTAAAACCAAAACTTTTGTTGAAACTGGTTAAGCGTAAAGTTATTAATTAATTTTTTTTAGATTATTCCCAAAACACAACTACTTTTTACTTTTGAACTCCCAATGTGTCACTTGAATTCTTTTTCCTATCAGAAAATATGCTTTAGAAAAAAATTAAAGCATTCTTACTGCCACATTAGTCGATAAATGACATACAAAAATTAAAAAATTAAAAATACTCATACATTGTTATAGCAATACTAATTTAATTCTAAAATGACTTGAATTAAAATAAATACAAATAATTGTAAACCTATATTTTGACTGTCATATACCTATATTGATCTGGGTGCCGACTTATATATATATATCATTATAATATTATACATACTTATCAAAATTTTAATCATAATATATAATATTATATATCACCAGGGCTGTGAATTTAATGCATTTGCATGTTTTTTTTTTGCTATACTGTATATTAAAATGAATTCGGCCAAAATTTGTTTTGCCTTATTTATAGTTCAAATACCAAATCTTATTTTGCATATTTCATGGGTTAGGGCATATAAATGCATGTTATAATGATTTTTTTGTATAAATGCTTTTTTCGTAATATTTACATTTTTTTGGCCAATCTGTTCTAAATTAACATTAAAATACTAAATGTATTTATATAAGCTATGACTTGTATAGTTTCATGGAAACTATTCTATTTTTACTCGGCTATTTTACATGACGTATTATTGACTATTGTATTTTTGAAGTCGAGAGTAAACAGTTCTCAACAAAAACAAAGTATTTAAAATGATGTGTAATATTTAAAAATATTAACTGGTGAAAAAGAGAATGTAGGTTTGGATATATCAGAAGATTTAACCAGTAGACATATTTCTAGTTTGCTCCAAAAACTGCGTCAGACGTAGAACTCTCCTTTTCTTTATATAAAACTTTGTTGTGCCATTGAGGAGGTCTTTCAAGTTTGATAATTTACAGGCATCATTGATTGTACAATGCAATAACTAGGTACTTTAAAAGTAAAATATAAAATTTTAAGTAGAAACATAATCTATTCTAACTTCTAAGCATATTTCTTTTATAGATCTTGTAGGTATACGATGAATATCAAGACTAGTCAAGCCCAATAAGTCATATTCTCATATCAGTCATATCAATGTGTAACAATACTAATATTTAAAATAAAATAAATTATAAATTATACTGAAAAAAATAAAAATAAAAGTCAAATTTTTGAAAAATGAGAGCATATTTTAAGATTTTTTATATCATAATTTGTCAGTTTTTAGTGCATATATGCGTGAATATTTAATAGTTTTTAAGTGCATTAAATTCATAGCCTTGTATATCACTAATTCAAACCCATTTCATAGTATATTATCGTAATTTTTAGTTAAACATTTTATTCTATAATAGGTATATCGTATATGCAGGTCAGAAAATGTGGTCGTTTGTTCAAACTTTTACTTTCACAGTTCGAACAAACGTATATCACGAAAAATAGGCCCAAATATATGACTTCATAATAATATTAACTATTATAATTTCTAAGATCATTATACCTTGGTCCATACACGATTTATACACTAATTTCATCATTTTGAACGGTCTCAGTTCATCAGGTTGAATGGGTTCGGTGAGGATCATTCGCTTCCAATTTAAAATTTCCTCCTTGATCACTGTAAATTGGTTTTCTGACACTTTGTCATCGTCGAGAATTGTGTTTTTTATAAAACTACCACACGCAAACTGATAGAAATCATCACATGGATCTACTGATCGATCCATGCTGTTGATTATGGAAGCCGCTAGAATATTAACCAGTTTTTATATCATATAAAGCACTCAGATATATATATTCACCAATTATACAATATGAGGGTTTTATAAATTAGTAATTACTTGAGTGGTATAGCAATAATAAATGACTCTTACCAGCTTTCACACAACCTTTTGAGAGACATAACAGATTTCCTTCGTCGAATTTACTATTCTGGAGCAGTCTCAATGAATGTGGAACCAAACCATTTTCTTTAGATGTTATTGATGGGAGACTCTCTGTGGACATTAAAGAATTGGTTGTAAATTATAATCGTATAATCCTGTTAAATTTATATTATTAGTACCTGATTTATATGTAGCATAATATTATAATAATTGAAATTATATGTGTTGCAACGTAAATTATATTATAAAAGTATACATTTCTGCTGGATAGTCGACTTAATGAGTTATAAATCAAAAAATAACTGATCTAATTTACAGAATATTATAAAATATAAAAATGCAGTGATTACAATTAGCTAACATTAAATAAATTGTTTTTTTTTTTCATATAATATATAAGTAATAGCTGATTGTGATAAACATGCACACCATCAATAAGTAACAGCTGTGTACCTAATATTACTAGGTATAATGTCTAACTGGTTCTCATTTTGATATTATTTTTAATAAATTAGTTAAAAAATTAATACGACTCTATTTCACATAACCAATGAAAACATTTCTGTATTATATTATATTGTATTAAATTATATATTAAGAATAACTAAAATGTTTAGTTGGATGGTGAACGAATCCGTATCTAGTATTTGTTTATTTATTAAAGCCTCTACGTCTAAGGCCATTGGCTGCAAAACTTTATGAAGGTTCACTTTAGTCGATATTTAGGTAGATATTATCATATTTTATACTTATATAACTATGGGTAGGTATATACCTATACTTAATATTACGTATCTACCCTTTACTTATTTTGTCCTTGATACTAAATACTTATTGCGCTATATGTCATATAGTTATAAATGTAATATAATTATATTATAATTATGTCATTACAAGTTTTTCGTCTTACTCGCATTGCAGCTGTGGTTCAAGTACAACAGAGACAGAGTTAGGGCCAGGAACGAGGATAACATTCTGCTGGTGACGATGGTTAGATTAAGTTCCAAGTTTGCCAGGCTTCTGAAATTTAACAATCACCAATATTATTATTCTGAGCTATTATTATATGAAAAAGTACGTAGGTACCTATGCGTGTTTGTGTGAATTTCAGTCTTGTAATGTATTCGAATAATTGTATTTGAATACTATTTTAAATACTTTTTTTTTAAATTATTCAAATACTTATTCTGAATACTTTTGTTTGTATTTTTCATTCATTAAGAAAATACTTTTTTTTCGATCCAGAAAAAATTTGTGACCAAACAGACATATTATTATAAATCATGAACATTAATTTTATTCTTTGAACGAAATATAGTATTGGCTCATGAAATGATATGAGTTCAACATTTATAAATAACTTATGATCATAATATATTATTAGTTATTAATTAATAAATGTTAATTACTAAACATTCAAAAACTGGGTGTGAAAAAAGTATTCTAATAGTATTCAAATAATTTTTAAAGAACTATTCAAATACGTATTCTGAATACCTCACAAGACTGGTGAAATGTATGACAAGTAAGTAAACAACAGTGTATGATTCGCCCTATTATACAAATGAGATCAAGGAATCTAGAAAGTACTGAAATACAAATTTCATATTTGTATGTATAGTAAATTATCTACTAGTATGAAGTTCTTCCTTTACATAAGACAACGATGTTTAATATAGCAAAATAGTAAAATATTTATACAAACATGACATATTTTTATGTACCTAACGTTAAACAATACACTAAATTTATATTATAATATGTTACTAAAAACATTTGGTTTAGATTTTGCGATGAATGATGTATTGATTTTAAAATGTAAATCGTGTACCTTTTTTTCTTTCTCTATTATATTCTTTGTGTCGGACATCACCTTAATGATTACAAGAAGTAAAATATTTCCAGTAGTTATAATAAATGTTGGGTAAAACAAAAGAAAATGGGCTATAATATCGTGTACCTAGTAAATATGACTTTAAGAAAACGTTGGAATCTTTATGCAATAAAGTTTAAATTTTCACAAAATAATTATACGACTATTTCCTATACATTATAACATTTTAAAATTAAGTTGATTCTTTTTGATATATTTATAGCATCTATGATAAATGTTCAGTTTTTTTTCAATTATTGTCGATAAAAAAATGTTTAGTTGGTCAAAAAACTTGAAAATGTAATACAAGGTTTTTCATAAGTTGTTATTAGTATAAATAAAAGTTAAGCTTAAATCCACAGTAACATTTTATGAGTGTCTGTCTGCAATGGTGTAGGAAGCCTCGTTCGTGCCCTGGCAAAACTAAGTGCCTTTTTAGAGATTAAAAAATTGACGCAATGATATTTTTTAACATTTATTTTTTATGTATATAATATATGTTCATGTTTTATGAATAAAATGTCCATGCTTGTTATTTATCTCTCTTGTTCAATAATTGATCTTAAGAAATTTAAGCTGAAACCTCCTTCACAACTAGCAGCTGTTACTGGAATAGTGAAAAATATTCTTAACACTATTTTTTTGTTAGGATAAATATTTTGTAAGTTTTGTTTATAATTAAATTAAATTTTAATTAAATGTATTTATACGAGCTATGTTTAATTTGTATAAAAAAATCTATGATTTTTTCCCAATTGATACGAGTTACGTCGACTGGTCGACCTCCGTCACTAAAATATATATTAATAAGTAAGAAGTATTGAAATATTTAATCACATTACTAAATTAGTTGATTACTTGTCCCTAATGACAATTAATTGCTAATATCCTGGGAAATGTTAAATAAGTACTACCTACTTGCATATTAGTTGTTTCTTTCTTTATTTTAATAATATTATATAATAAGTGAAACTCAATTATACATATTATCAATTGATAATATAAACATATTATTATGATCAAGTGTCTACGGTTATATGTTATTGAATTACAACAAAATAAGAAAATCGCTACTTGAGATATCTAGTGAATATCCAATATAGTAAAAACTTGTACTTCAAACGCACATAAAAATGTTATTTTACTTTCTTATAGACATTTTATATCCTTAGAAGGAACTTTGTATTAATTTTTCAAATCTTTGATGCAAAAAAGAAAAATATTTAGGAAATTATAACTCAAAATAATTTGCACATTTTCGTGATTTTTACGTATTTTGTCAAGATTTGAGCTTTAAATGTTTATAAAAAAAATGTGACCATGGATTTTTAATATTTTTAAAATATCATATTAACAATATATTAGGAGCTTTGTATTACATGTTCAAGCTTTTTTACTGGAAAAATGAAATTTTATGACATTCATAGAAAAAAAACTAAAAAAATTGGAAAGTAAACAGTTGCAAACAAATCATCATTTTTGAAAATGTTATGTTATATAGAAAATGCTAATTTAAACAAAAAGTTAAAATTTCATGTATCTACTTTCACTTGTTATATTGTTACACCAAAAACTGAAATCATTTTTTTCAAGAACAGAAGTTTTTTAACTATTGCAAATAATATCAACCCCCCCCTCCTCCAAAGTACTAACTATATTTACTTTTCTATCAAAAAAGATACTATACAAGAAAACCAAGTATTTTTACTGTCCCAAAAAGTAATGGCAGACACAAATAAAAATTTAAAAACATGCATGGTTGTAAAATCAATAAATTCATAGTTCCGCTCAGATTCAAAAGTATCAACCGCTATTTTAATTATAAAAGTTGTACTTCTGCTCTCTGTTGTGCAGTATTGTGAGAGAAAAGAAAATGTTATAAATAATAGTTTTACAAATAAAACTAAAACAGTAACATTTTTGAGGTCTAAACGTTTTATTCTAATCAACTTTAATTAGATCACATAAATACACCTGTTTTATTTTTGTTTTGCAGTGTTTTTCGATTTACATGTAATTTGTAAGAAGGTACGATTGCGGAAATTCAAAGATATATAAAGAGTAATTAAAGACTAAGTCGTTTTTCAATATAAACTTATCTCAACGAGTTAAAAAAAATAGTTAACTTACCAAGCCTTCGACTTGATATAGTAAATACGTTGTTCGACGGATGGCGTGGCGTGAATGACTGCACGGCCTCGTGTTCACACCAAAATCTTGTAGTTAAATGACACTCAATAGAAAAATATTGTTTAATATATACCTACTACAGAAGTTGTAGTTACCGGAAACGAATTTCCACAAATCATTTCAGTAACCGATATCGTTATTAATTTTCAGACGTGTAAAATTATAACTGATTACTGATTAGGCAATCGAATAATATTATTAATAAGAAATATGATTAGGCTTTAAATTATACGATAAAACCCGAGCATTAATATGCAAAATTAATGCATTTCCGTGAAAAATTTTATTGATAGTCGATTGGAAATATTAATAAAGTCACGTCAAAAGCGTAGGTTAAAGACGGTTAAATGATTCTGTAGAATAATATAGCTTACATAGTTATATTATATACGATAAAAGTTGTAGTTACCAGAAACAAATTTCCACATATCACTTAAGAGTTGTAAACGATATAGTTATTTCAATTCAGGTGTGTAACAATCTAACAGACTATTTATTTAGTAGGTAATTGAATAACTATGAATACAAATTATGAATAGGCTTTAAATTATATTATTATAAAAGCGAGCATTAATATGAAAAATGAATGCAGTTCCGTGAATTATTTTATTGATATTCAATTGGAATTATCGATGAAGTCACATAAAACTCTTAGATATAACAGTATTGTACAAATTGTACTGGTATGAACGGTGTACTTAAAGTTTTGAAATAAACAATAAAAATATATTATATAATTATATATTATGTAACAATAATACCTAATAAAAACAGGTAATTGGATTAAATGCATGGGTTTAATTATATTTTCCTAGTTCTGTATAAATTGTAATAATAGGTAATATTTTAATACGTCTTGTTCACTTCAGAAAATAATAAAAGGCCGGTTTTTTTTAAAGTATTAAAAATTAACAACCAAACTTGGGTCCTATTATCTTATTGTCAATACAGAGTACTTGATCCTTTTAACAATATTTAATGTCACTTCAATTTACAAAAACTTCACTATCCAGTATCCACGACTTATGCTATGATATTACGCTCAAAAGCATCGCATGTTGGTTTTTGAAGAATATTCATTGTCCATGATAATATTTCAAAACTTATTATAATATTTACATAGAATAATATTATTAACATGTTTAATATGAAATACCTAAAATGTTTTCTTAAACAGCGGTGTTATTAGGGGAGATTTTGGTGTCGTATCTCCCCCAATGACCGTTTTTTTTTGTTATAATCGTCAAACACATTTATGTACTTATTTTATTAATGTATATTTTATAGATAGGTACCTAATACAAAAATCACCCGAATCTCAAAATTCAAATATATTCAATATTTTTCATGATATACTTTCTGTGGTAAAGACTTAATTTATGTATAATGCTTTACTCTTTTGCTCCACAGATTCTATTAAATGGTCTTGCTATGTTGGCTGTTCATAAAAATGTCGAAATCGACCCTGAAGAAGTGCTTAATGAATTATCATTAAGACCACGTAGAGTGGATCTTTTATTTTGATTTGTGATGTAGCTGTATCTAGTTTCTAGGACCTAGGTATCAATAAAGTTAATGTTTAAATGTACCTAAATGTGATTATCTAAATATTATGTTATTATTTATTTTAATGTATAGTGTATAGAATATTACATACAAATCATAATGGTTGTATACTTGTATTGAGAGGTGCTTATTGCTTATATGATTAAAAAAAATGTTGAGTGGGGGGGGGGGGTTAGTGAAATATACATACATTTCATCAACCCCCCCCCCCACTCAACCATGACCAAATTACGCCACTGATCCTAAATATATACCATACATTTCAAAAATATTGATTTAAAATTCCAGACATCTCCTGAGATAATAAATATATCATAAAGTTTTTTAATTTTTTAATTTAATTTT